TTATTCAAATGCTTGATGAAGGTTTTGCAGCTGGGCTGGGCAAACAGTCAAACCTCTGGGAATAGGGAGGAAAATTTTTGGATATGACTGCAGAAAGAGGGGTGGGTGCTGTGGCAGGGTTTGAGGACTTCCAAAGGACTAATTGCCAAATACTGAAACAAACTATGATGATTTAGGCATCTGTCTGGAAGCTTGTGCTATACAGGACCATGAAAGTGGAGGGAGAATTATGGAACTTCTGGTGTAAGCAAATTGATAAAAGAATAGGAAATACAAAGGAAAAAAATCACTATTTGCGTTGTTAAGGATAATGTCAAGAAGATTGGGAAAACAAGCAGAGAGAGGAAAAAAAAAACCAGCTGTCTGTAAAGAGTCATGATTAAGCTAAAGGCATTTCTAATAGGATCCAACAGGAATCAGAGGCTGACCTGAATCAGTTTTACATTTTCATCAGAATGGAGATAAGTGCAGGCTCTGTCCTGACAAGGTTTTGCCTTGACATAAATAAAGTAATTTCACTTTGTGGGACAGAGAGGCATTGCAACAGGGAAAGAGAGAGGTTGTGGGATCTCCATACTTGGAGTTTTCTTAACATCTGTCTGCACAAAACCTTGTCTGAATTCAGTGCTGTCCTTGCCTTGAGCAGGAGGTTAGACAAGAGACTTCCTGAAGTCTCCTTCCAACCTGATATACTCCATCTTTCTTTGACACAGAGGTTTGCAGAGCAGTAGGCAGTGAGAACAGGGAAGAACATGGTTGATCAAAGTAAACATATTTAACGAACACATGCAGATGAACATACCAAGATGGTAACCACTGGAGAGAAGCTAAAGTCACACAAATTCAAATGAGAAACAGGTGGTGACTTTTTAGCAGCAAAACTAATGCAACATTAAATGAATACCCAGGGAAGAATCAGACTATGCTGATGTTGCCAGGTTTGGGTGGGTTTCTGATGTTCCCTTGAGTGGTGTTTTGGTTAAACATGACATTCTGGCTTCAGCAGGTGAGAACCTGGTTGTTATTTTCTGGCTTGTGCATGTCTGAGCAATTCCTTCTGCTCTTAAACCGGTGAGTTTGAGGGGTGTTACAGCTGAGCGCTGTTATGTGCACACCATGTGATGTACTTATGTGTGACGTGTGTTTTGGAGCCGACGCGTGTGTGTGCATATGCATACAAGTAACACTGCACTGGTGAACACACTCCTCTGCTGTGTGCTGAGGAGAGGCGAGGACTTTCCTGGGGAGGTTCACTCCTGTGGACAGCCATGTCCTGGATCTTCAAGGGCCTTTATGCTAGGGTGACCCAGTGGGAACACAGTATGCTCTGTCCCGGTCATAGTCATTAAATGGTACCTTTGGTTCTTCCTAGGAGTTCAAGAAGCCCTTTGGGAAGGCCTGCAAAGACTATGAGAGCAAACGGTGAGTCTTTAGGCTCCCTCACCTTGGGGCATGGGCTTGGAGGGTGGGTTTTGTCTGCCGTCACTGCCAAGCAGCCAGGCAGAGCTTTTCACACACGTCTCCTCTTTCCTTGAGCACCAAGAGTGAGAAGTGTGAACCAGCAAAGCAGCACAGCATGGTGCAGAGGGAGCTTAGTGGGGGTGAGATCACTGAGGACCTGGAAAAGGAGCACAGGACCTTCCAGTTGAACATGTGTGAGGTAAGGACAGGGATGAGCCTGTGCTGCATAGAGTGGTGTTAGAGTCACCAAATCGGTGTACAGGGGATGAATTTCCTCTCCATTGGTGCACAGCAATTGTGCCACAGCCCCACCTTCCACCGAAGGCAGCTGATATTGGGCCAGTTCCTCATTCCCTGAATGCCCTTGTGCATTCCTCACCACTCCTTTTCCTTCCTTTCTCCCTATGGTGTATTGAAGGTCAGCCTCACAGGCAAAGCGCCTTCCCTGCTTCATTTGTTCACATAGTCAATGAGTAGGATCTGCTTCAACTCAGGGAAGATAAGATCAAGTGCTTAACAGGTAAGCTCTGGTCTGTACTGAGGGCCCCTGGCATGACCAGGCTGGGAGCATCAGCTCTCCCCGTGCCGCCTCCCTCACTTCTACTGTTCCAGCATCACTGCTCCCCCCAGCCCACTCCTTCCATGATCTGCCAGGAGTGCCAGGCTGTCCTAGACGATTCCTTGGCCAGGCAAAGGGAGGAGCACACAGCACCAAACGTACTCCACCGATGAGGTCCTGTCCTAGGCACATCCCATGCAGGAAACAGCCCTGGGCACTTTGTTGCTAAGTGCCTGGCTCCTGCCTTGCCCTGACCATGCTGCCTGTCCCATGGTACTCCCTGCTCTACTAGTGCCAATGGAAATGATGGTATAGCAGAGCAGTGCTGTGCCCTGTGGTGCTCTGGAGCTGCAAGCAGAGCAATGCTGGCATGCAGACCATAGGCAAAGGGGCTTCTGCTGGGGGCGGAGCACATTGGGAGCTTCCAAATGCAAAGGAGTGCTGTGGAGTTGGCACTGCTGAGACCCTGTGCAGTCCCTAATTCCTCCTACCCAGTTTCACTGTTTGTGCTCCAGAAAATGTGCTCTGTGGCGCTCAGGGCACTGCTCCTTCAGTGCCTCTACACTGCCCCCCATCTCAGCAGTGGTGGAGAGGCCCTTTGAGCCTGCCACCAATAAATACCAGTTCTTCGGTGCTCTGTGGTTCACTGCTGCTTTGTTGTTCTCCCTTAGGCACCAAACCTCCTTACAGACATCAGAGGAAAGAGAGCTGACCTTTCCTTGGGTAAAATTGCTCACAATTCAGCTTGCATGGCTTTTCTCCACTGGCTGTGTGTTTCCAGTTGCTGTTGCTGAGGCACATTTCACAGCCGTCCTTTATGAACCAAAATCTCATCTAGATGATGAGTAAAAGAGGTGAGGATGTCAGAGCGGTGGGCACTGCCGGAGGAGGGACAGCAGCCCTGACCTCACTCCCAAGGTTCTTTTCTCCCCCACGTCACGGTGCAACACTTCCTCATCTCTGGTGGCTGTTGCAGCTTGCAGCAAGCACTGGCGAGGCCGCGGAGCCCTGGAGCGTCACCTTCGCCTTGGCCCTGCTCAGCAACACTTCCTCCAAGGAGGTGAGAGGCCCCAGGGGCCACTCCTGGTGGGATGCCTTGGGGATGGGTGGGGACAGGGACATGTTTGTGGCCACCGGGCACAGCTGGATGCAGCAGCAGCAGGGCTGCAGTGGAGTGGCTTGTGGCTGGGCTGGGGAACCTCAAGGTGAGGGCACTTCTGTGCACAGGGCACTGTGAGGGTGTGGGTGCAATGGAGAGGTGCCATCCATGGCACAGACACAGGCACAGAGACAGGGCCACTCAATCATGCCTGCCCAGAGCCCTGTCCTCCCTAGTGAGAGGCAACTGCAAAAGCTGAATTAAATACTCACCGTGCTAAGGTCTGGGCTTAATGGAGCTGCTGGTGCCAGCCATGCAGCCACCAGATAGCTCATCCCCCTCCATGGGCTGCAGCTTCGTAAGCCCCAAGGATCCATGAGTGCCTGAATCTGTCCGAGAGTCTGCTGCCTCTTGGCCCAACTGCCATGTCAGATGGGTGCTCTTTGTCTCCATCACAGCAAATGCTTATGGCTGCTGCAGAAAGGCAAAAGACTGAGTCATGGGGCTCCATGGCTGCTGGCAGTGAGAGTATCAGGGGCCTTTTGGGCATCCCCTCCAGGCCTGTAGCGTGAAGAGCCAGCATTTTGTGGCTGCTTTCTGCTTGGGAGCACTCACATCTGTTCTTCCGGTGCACTGGTGGTGGCTTGTTTGTGCTTCCCTTCAAGAAGAGTTGACAATTTGGTCACTTTTTGAAAAGGCAGGACTGCTGGGAAGCACACCCTGCTGCAGCCATCTGGGATCATCCAAACCCCACCCCAGTTCTGTCTCTGCTTGTTGCTTGGACCCTCCCTCCCACCCAGGAACAGCAGTTTTGATGTCATCCCATGGGTTAGATTTGAGTGCAGCTGGTTAGACACCACAATGAGCAGATATGTTCTTACTGCAGGAGCCACAGGAAATGATTAATGGAGCGAAGTTAAGCTGGTGCTGATGTGTGGTCCCAACCACAGCACTGTGGGATGTCAGCACCCAAGGGACTGGGGCGAGCACAGGAGGGGGTTGTCCTCTCCGACTTTACCAGTACAGAGGAGACACATATCTACACCTTCCACTCCCCTACCCCTACCCCACAAACTTGCTGCAGTTGCTTCTGACCCTGGAATGGAGGGTCTCCCTGCATCTCGGCTCCTCACTCTTGCCTTGGACCCATGGGAGCCAGGTCCTGAGATGCTGAGCTCTTAATGGACTCTATGAGGATGAGAAAATCCTTTCCCTTCCCACTTTAAATTTATTTGACTGGTTTTAGATGGAGGATGGAAATGCCACATACATAAATATGTGTGTTTAAGAAAGGTTCGTGCACAGAGATGACAGGCAGTACTTCCTGCTCCTTCCTCCTGCCGATGATCTAGTGCCCTTCAAGCTGCAAAACCCCAAGGCTGCTGAGGAGGAAACGCCTCACTGGGTGCACAGTGCCTGCGTGGGCTCAGTGGCAGTGAGGCCAAGGGGTTCCTGTGACCAGCAGTTGCTCCTTGGCACCGGTGGATGTGGGGAGCAGGCAGCGGATGAGCTGCTTTGCAAGTGGACAACTGCTCCTCCTGAAGGGAGATGGATTTTTTATTGCTTTGTTGCTTGTTCACAGGCCAGTTTGCAGACTGAAATTGTTGCAGGCAGAACGCAGCTCCTCGTACAGCACTTGCTGCCAACCAGCACTGCCTGGACCTACGTAGCTGCAGCAGTGCCAGAAGGAGAGCACAGCAATAAAGCCAGTGATTGGCTTGAAAAGAAAGCGTGTACCAGGACCTATTGCAGGTCCCTGCAGGGTTGGTGAGCAGCTGAGGGGTGTCCCAGGAAGCTGGGCAAGGAGGGTGGGTGGGAAGGGGTCCTGTGGTGTCACTGCTGCTGGTCTCCCTCTGACATCTTGCTGCAGTGGCATGAAGGATGTTGTACCAGAGGCGCATGCAGGTGGTTCTGGCCCTGTGCCTACTGCTGGTCCTATGGCAATGTTTCCGAGCCCCCACGGATGGCCTCAGCCCCTTCCCTTGGGCTCCCGCCTTCCCTGATGACTCTGCTGCCCACTGCACCACCAATGTGAACAGCTCCACATGGTTCAGCACCCGATACAACGTGACCACGGAGCTTCTGCTGACCGGTGCATCCCACAAGCTCTCCTCTGATGTGGTTCAGTGGTGGCTGGTGAGTAGGGGCACGGGTGGGAGCTTGGGGCTCCTCCTGGGCTCCCTGAATCCGTTTGTGGTGGAGCAAGGCCAAGGTCAAATCAGACAGATGCAATGGGGAAGGGACCACAGCTCACCCCCACCCCTCCACCTCTCTGGGCTGTCCCCACACTTTTTCTAATACCCTACTGGGCTTTTTTTGCTGTCTTTCGCAGAGCTCCACTGAGAGGAGTGGGGCTCCATCCTGCTTTGGGGGTACTGACAGAAGAGGGACTGATGCTGCCTGTCACTTCCTTTGCTCCCCTAGACCCTGCAGGGTCCTTCAAGTGGTGCCCAGCTCCAGGACATAATTTGGCAGCTCTTCACTGTCCTCCAGGCCCCAACTGGTGGTGTGTGGGACTCATCTCGCTGCAGGACTTGTGCTGTTGTGGGGAACTCGGGGCGGTTGAAGGGGTCTGGCTACGGGCTGCAGATTGATGCCCATGACTGGGTTCTGAGGTGGGTAACCTGAAAGAGCTTGGCTCCTCCATGTCTCCCTAGGACCGTGGGGTGTCCTGGCCCCTGGTCACCTTGAAATACAACACAAACCTTGCAATGGCAGGCGTGGTGATGGGGATCACTGCTGGCCCTGCTCCGTGGAGCCTTCCACCCTAGGGCACACAACAGCCCCGTGTTGCCCTTGTTCCTTCTTTGCTGCTGGCCAGGGTGACCTGATGTCCATACCCAGTGGGACCAGCAGCCTGGGACTGGCACAGTGTGCACCTTCATTTTGGGATGTGCCTTCCCTGCTGTGTCCTAGGATGAACAGAGCAAAGATTGCTGGCTTTGAGCTGGATGTTGGCGTGAGAACAACACATCACTTCATGTACCCAGAGAGTGCAGTGAACCTCGGGCCCGGCATCCACCTCATCCTCATCCCCTTCAAGCCACTGGACCTGCAGTGGGTGGCCAGCGCCTTCTCTACTGGAGAGCTCACACAGTGCGTTGGCTTTGGGAACATGCCAGCATCTCTTGTGCTGGAGACCCTGGGGCTGGTGTGAGGTGGTCCTGGGGACCCTGGTGCCTCACTGGGACCCTGGCATCATTGTCCTGGTGCAATGAAGGGCCCCTGAGTAAGGGTCCCGGCAGTTCCCTGCTCCACAGTTTGTGGAAGTGACCCCCCATCCCCACAGGGCTCGGGTACCTTGCAGTCCCATAAAACCCCTGGGTACAATGGTAGCTGTCCCCACTGTGGGGCCACAGGCTTGATGTGTTCCTTCCTAGAGTCAAGCCAGGGCATGCTGCTGGTCCAGCCCAAAGGGCTGGGGTGCCATGGCACTGGGTGCTGGCAGACTCAGTCAGGCTCTGAAAACCAGCTGCTTCTAAAGGAGAGGCCCTGGCACCAGGAGTGCCCCATGCTCACTGCTGTCCTCTGGCTTTTGCAGCACTTACATGAGAGTGAAACAATTCATCAAAGCTGACAAGAACAAGGTAAGGGCTTGGCAGGCTCCAGTGCCTCCTGGGCAGGCAGGGCTTTATTTCAGTGGGATGTGGGCAGAAGCAGCAAGCGGGAGGGCGGATGGCTCTGCTGGTGGTGGGGGCTGGCTGTCCCGTGTGCAGCATGGTGAGCAGCTGATTGTTCCTCTGCTCCTTACTCAGGTGCTGATCCTGAGCCCTGCTTTTCTCAAGTACATCCATGACAACTGGATGCAGCACCATGGGAGGTACCCCTCAACTGGCTTCACAGCCCTGCTCTTTGCCCTGCATGCCTGCCAGCAGGTGAGCATGGCCAGGACTGGGCACTGCCCCACATCACCACTGCACTGCTTGTCTGTGTGCCCTCAGGCTGACCAAGCACCCATGCAGTGATGGCTCTTGTTGTGTACACAGGTCTCTGTGTTTGGCTTCGGCGCAGACAGTGACGGGAACTGGCACCACTATTGGGAGAAAAACAACTGGTCTGGAGCCTTTCGTAGGACGAAGGTCCATGATGCTGACGTTGAATTCAGCATTATTGAGAGACTGGCAAACGAAGGCAGGATTTTATTCTACAAATGATGCATTTCCAAAAAAACTGAAGCCAGACTGTTAGCACAGGACCTGGCAGCTCTCTGCATGGCCAACAGCTGCCTCAGCTCTTTAGCTTGTTTCTCCCCACCAGTGCTGCTCACAAACCCTGTGATCCCTGGAGTCTCCGTGCTGCTTGTGCTGGTTGCACCAGCTGGGCACTGTGGATGCCAGGAGGTGATGCTCCCACGGCACCAGGTATGCTGCATTTGGCTGGACACAAGGTGGTCATGCCCATGCTGGCTGGAAGAAATGATTGGGATATGGTGGGTGTGGAGCCTGTGAGCTGCTGTACATACTCATGAAATCAGTGGGTGACAGCAGTGGTGGTGATGGCCAGCCGCTCAAACATGGCTGTCTGCATGACGGTACTGACAGCTGATGGCTTTTGGGGGAGGTCCATACCTCTTTGGGCAAGGGGAGGGGGTCATCTGCCCTTCTTGTCTTTTTGTAATTAAAGAAATATTTTTAAAATTATATAAAAAAGAGTAAGAAAGGAAAAAAAATCAAGCATGCTAAGACAGAAAATGACAGAATCAAGTACAGTTGAAATGATGTTATGCTGAATAAACTTGAAAGGACACATGAATCTATTCTTAACGTTCGCTTAACTTTTTTAGTCCTTACTGCTTTGAGAAGACATCACAATCTATCCCAGCCCCATCCTGCAGAACACGATAGCAGAACCTGGAGACTGAGTTCCCAAAAGGCAGTTTTTATCTCCAGAGTAGTGTTAGCAGAATGTCTTTTCCCACTTTCAAACACAAACTTCCTTGAATCAGACCTAGCTTTTCCATGGCTGTTAGTCTTTTGGTCTTTTAGTCCATTAAAGCCACCAGATCTCTTCTACTCATAAGTGCCCATTTTATAGCAAAGCCTGTATTACTTAACTTCTAGCTCTACAGACTTTCCACCCCTCCAGACAGAATCTCAGTTTCTGTGCCTTCTATTTCTCTTCTCCATTATATCCAGTTTCCCACACTGAGTAAAAGTCTTGAAATTACCTGCACCTTCAGCTTCCCTCTATTTTCTGTAGGTGCTAAGCAGTGCTCTGCTTGATGCTCTTCAATGTTTTTCTCAGGTTTACAAGTAATTTTTTTTCTTATCAAAGACAAGCAATTGGCTGGTAATTGTTTAACTGTGGGTTAAACTCTTGCTGCATTATTTCCGTTCATTTTCCTCCTCTTGATTAGTCTTTCAATTTTAATTAAAAAGCTGTGTGCTTTACTGAGCAATTGAAGCTGTTTAGGTCACATTTTTTGTTCCTGATAAAACATACCATGTCCTCTTCCTCACACTGCAGTACTACTGTACAAACCTGACATGATAGTTTTATTATATATATTTGAAATAAGTATATTTAATTTTTTTTTTACAAACCCAAAAGTATTTACGTTTTTCAGGATTCTAGCTTGGGGATTAATCACTCACCCACACTTCAAATTGCTTCTCTTCACGATTGAAAAAACACAATTTTTTTTTTAATATTCCCTGGTTTGTAGATAAGTCCAACATGAAAAAAACCCACACAAAGCAACAAAACCAACACAAACAAAACCTGATTTCAAATTAATTATACAATCGTTTTCTCTCTGTATTATCTCATCCTGTGCTTCACAAACTCACTGTGCACTGTTGAACCATTTGCTCAGATGAAGTTTAGAGTCAATAACAAAGTGAATCCAGAGCTGAGATTTAAGAGTAGTGAGTCTGTTTTCCCTCAAAATGAGGCAGGAAAGCATACTATTTTATCTGTCCTTCCTATTTTCAAATTTCTTCCAATTCCACATACCAAGCACTTTACTCACTTGTGCAGATCATTAAAGAAAAAAAATTCATAACCATGTTATCTACATACTTTCCTACAATGCAGGTGTGTTTTTAAATTATAATTTCCAGTTCAGTACCAGGATTAGTTCAAATAATTTAATTATTCCAAATGCTTTATCAAAACACACAGAGAATGTACTTTATTTTAAAATACAAACAAGAGGGGAAGTGAAAAACACAACTGAATTTAAAAATCAGTTAAAACTCCAATGACTTTTTTTGTCTGAAACATTAGCTTGCAGCTTTTGTAAGAAGAGCACTCTGGAGCAACTGCATTGCCCCATGGTACAGTAAGCACATACCAAGTGATAGATCTCACCATGTTGCCCACAACAGCTGTAAGGAAAGCATATGGGCTTCAGCACCTTTTCACAAAGGTCTGGCATCCAGCATCAGCACAATCGGAAACATTTTTAAGAAAAATTAAAAAAGCTAGATGGTGTTGCTAGAAAGCTTATTTGATGGCAACTTCAATCCACTGCAGGTCTCATGACAATACAGTACATTATTCCCGGAGGCAAACAGACAGCAGTACCTCCAGTGACTCTTTCAGGGAGGGGGACAGAACTGGATGAACATGGACACACATGGGTCTTACAGTAGGGCCTGCACAGCCAGACAAGATGGCTAATATTTATAGCAGCAAGGTTCAAGCATTTCTATCCACAAATTAATGCCAAACAAGGAATGATGGGACAGTAACATAAGAGCGGACAAACCTCTTCTCCTGTACATTCAGAAGATCACTTGTATTTCAAAAAACCTGTTTAGTTCTCCTTAGAGTTTTCTTTGTGGGGTGAGGTTGTTGCTTACTTATGTAGTCTTCCCAAGTTCAATTTTCTTTTGGATAGCACGTGCTGAGTGATAGATCAAGGAGTCAATTAATCCTGCAACTGAAAAGAAAAGAATAGATAGATCAAGCCAGATATGCCTGAAAGAGAGAACAGCTCCCAGGAAAAGAAAACACAAACCCTTCTGTCAGCAGAAAGGAATTCTAGCTCCCCCAGACATTAAAGAGCTGCTGCTGCCCAAAAAAGTAAGGTCCTCATCTCATCAAGACAGACAAGATCCAGCTTGCGGGGCAGAGTTGATCATGCTTCTCCAGAAAAGGGTCTCTTATAGAAGTAAAAATGAGACAGGCCAAGTCACATGTGTTTAAGGATGAGGGAGAAGAGTTTGGAAAGGAAGCTGACACCAAGAGCTTTAAGGCTTGTCATTGCCCTGACCCAGCTTGTCAAGATCATGTTTCCCATTTCTTGCTCATTTCACAGTAACTTTAAAAGCTGCTCTACCCAATGCTGCTCTTGATGGATGCCCTTTATTGAAGACTGCAACATTTACCCACCAAGGACTGAAGCAAAACAAACCAATGCCTTTAGTTCTTTGTGCAGTATTTCCCCCAAATCCCGCGAGCACTTTGGTGCTTGTTTGGAACCACAGAAGAGTTCAGAATGATCTACTGCACCACAAAACCCAGACAACCCTGCAACTATTGAGGCAGCTTTCACAGGATAGGAGCCCTGTCAGGGAGGGAACACAGGGTGCCAGCGAATGGAACTACTTCCAATGCCTTTATGAAGCTTTATGTTCCTTTTGCTTTTATTCAACATCCCAATCTAAGGAATAAGTAAGTGATTACTTGGCCCTGTACAAAGACAGACATTTCAATATGATATAAAGAGTAGTAGCTAGAATGGGAAACGAGTTTTTTGTTCATTACTGTAGACTATGGAATTATTTGCCTTACTATCTAGTCTTGGAGTAATGCTTCAGATGACTGTCTTTTGTGGTTGTTTTGCTCTAAAATGATCTCTACTTGTGGCATAAATTTGATGTTGTAACACAAAAATTGTTACACAGATGATTTGATCCATCTTCCATAATACAGAGAGTCTGAACATGGTGTATAGCAGCAAATGCTATGAACTGGCTATCAAACGTCATCAGTGCTAGAGGGCACTTGCATCTGTCCTGAAAATAATTTGTAAAGCCTCTTCCCGAGTCAACCATAGAAATTAGTGTGATCCAATTTATTACAGACAGAAATCCTGTTGAACCATACCAGGCTGAGTACTGTGACAACTCAGGTGACAGGAAAACCTTGCTGATCAAGGCATCACGTCATATAGGCATGTGGTCCAGGTGTTACACGATACAGTAGCTGGCTTCTCAGGTCCACTAAGATCTGCTGACCAGTTCTCCAGTGTGGCCCTTCACAGCCATGTAAACATCTCTGACTATGTTTCAGAGCACCCTGGGTTATTACCTGGAGTGCAACCAAGACTGTGCTTTGTCACATGCATGGAACTGAGCATTCCAGAAGCTAGCATTGAGAATGAATCCACACACTCAAATGTCTCTGTAGAAACAGCCTCCACTTACAGGATCCCACCTACCTGTGAGGGCTAATTTTAGTCCCTCCAGAGCACTTACTGGAGCTCCTATGTCTGGGAACACAGTTTGAGACCCCTGAGATGGCTATGCCCATGGCGACCTGGATTTACAGATTTTAGTGGCTTCAGTTTCACATGAAAGCAACTATACAATCTAGAATCACTATGGTTGGAAAGGACCTCTAGGATCACCAAGTCCAACCTTCCTTCCAACATTTCCCTAACCACCAGACCACGGCCTCAAGTGCTACATCTACTCATTTTTGGAACGCCTCCAGGGATGATGATTCCACCACCTCCCTGGGCAGCCTGTTCCAGTGCCTGACCACTCTCTCAGTGAATAAATTCTTCCTAATGACCAGTCAAAACCTCCCCTGGCGCAACTTGAGGCCATCTCCTCTTGTCCTATCATCAGAAATTTGGGAGAAGAGTTCAACACCTGCCTCACTACAATCTCCTTTTAGGTAGCTGTAGAGAGCAATAAGGTCACCTCTCAGTCTCCTCTTCTCCAGACTAAACAACCCCAGTTCCCTCAGCTGGTCTTCATAAGGCATGTTTTCCAGCCCTCTCACCAGCCTTGTTGCCATTCTATGGACCTGTTCTAGCACCTCAATGTCCTTCTTATACTGTGGTGCCCAAAACTGGACACAGTACTCAAGGTGCAGTCTTGCCATTGCTGAGTCCAGGGGCACCATCACCTCCCAGCTCCTGCTGGTCACACCATTTCTGATCCAGGCCAGGATGCCGTTTCCCTTCTTGGCCACCTGG